TAACTATATTTATGTAAAATTTTTTGATAGGAAACGAGGTTTAAATAGGTTAAATTTTAAAAGTATATAATTTATAAAAGTAATTAATAAATAAAATTCAAAAAACTGAACTTTGTGAAAGTATTAGTGAATTCTAGTGCAAGTCCCGCGGCGTTGTTTATTTCTACTTGAGAATTGTCAAAACCGGTAAAACCTTTGTTTCCTACATCGTGTACATACATACATACATACATATGTACATTAGACTGCATCACCAAAAAAAGTTTTCCGCCGGGATTCCAAAATTTATTATATTTTCAGACTTCCACCAAAATATTTCGGAAAAATATTAAGATTTAAGTGAGCTGGACCGATTGGAAAATACCCACAAAAATGGAGTTGTTTATGAATAAAAATAGTTTCTTAAAGGATTTTTTGGAAACAATCTCCTTAGATGACAAAATGGTTTAAGCTTTAAAAATCTGCATAAAAATATTCCTTTTTTTTAACGCTGTTTTTTTTAACTTTTTTCTAAGAGTTGTTTAAGAAAAACTTGAAAAACTGGGCCAAAACTACACCGATATAGACTTGTGATGCACCAGTGGAAAGGTATTTAAAAAAAAAACTCATTCACGTCCCAATTTTTTCATTATCAAATACCAACACGTCTTAATTCAACATGGAATGAGGCTCTTTTGTCTTACCTTTCTCTTTCATGCTTTAATTGAGCTTATTTGCAAAGAAATAAAAAGGGTGAGAAAATTCCTTTCCAATGATACCTCATAAGTCTAAATCAATAGATATTAGGCTGAGTTATTCAAGTTTTTTTTTTTAACCAGTCTTTGAAAAAAGTTGAAAAACAGCATAAAAAATCTCCTTATTGCGATTCCGTTAAAAACTTTTTTTAAATATTTGTATGCGAATTTTTTAAGCTTAAACTGTTTTGTCACTTAAGGTTATTTTTCGCAAAAAATACTTAAAAAACTGTTTTTATTCACAAAAAACTAATTTTTTGGAGGTATTTTCAAATAGGTCCAGCTCACGAAAATTTTAATATTTTTCCGTATTTCGGTGAAGGTCTTAAAATATAATAGTATAATTCCGGTGGAAAAACAGTACCGTTTTTTTTTGTATGGGGAGTGATGTAGTCTTATGTGCGTGCGTTGTGTACTTGTATGCAGGGCTGCCAACTTGGCTCAATCCGTGCCATTTTTGGCCCTATTTTACTTCAAATGCCACATAATTTTTCAATTTGGCATAAAGTGCCAATATGACACTTTTG